TACTAGGGGTGGTTTAAATATTCTTACTTTCCTTAAAAAACTTATATCCTCGTCTAAACTGCAATCATTTATGTGGAGATGTCATGCTTAGATTTCCTCACGGTAGCCGGTAATTTGGTGAACTTTTTGTCGAAAGATATCTTAGTAAATTTGTAATAATGTGAAACTTTAACAAATAAAAGATGAACTGTTGTAATTGAATTTTACCTCTGTGAATCTGTTGTCAGTAATTTAACCATGTGTCTTATGAGAAGCTTTTCTTGGTCGATTTAAAGCATGTTTAAGTTCCTCATATCAAGGCCATTTTTATCTGCACCAAGGGCTACTTGAAAGATAGGGCCTTTACCGTCTCCAGATATGAATCAGTGGTAATGGCTTTCAGATAAGTGTAGTTCATTTTCTCAACGTGTAAATTTTGTCAAAATGTGGAGGTCATCCTAAATGGAACTTTGCGGTGATAAGATCAAAAGGTGCGAAACTTTCGCTCAATTTGAAAGGTCGTCCAAGTTAATTTCAAGGGGATATGCAGGCCACGCTGGAATAACCTTCAGCTGATTACTTTTTAATCAAAGATGCACCTGGCGTGTTGAAATATTTTGTAGATCGCCGAGCAGTGGGTAGTAAAAGAAATTCATCTTAAAACAGGATTTAATGACATTTTTGTGATAAAAAAGAAACCAAAGCACTCTAATTCACCTTACAGTAACTCTGGAATCTCTTCAACCTGAATCAAGTTGTTTTCATGAAGCAGAAAGAGATGGATACTACCGCCAGAGAAGAGAAGTTTTGTCACCCCCGAGGGGATATGTATGTTGAATGTGTTTGTTTGATAGGTGGGTTTTCCAGAGCCTTTTTTGCATTTAGATGAGGTGTAGCGATGAAAAATATTGCGCAAGACTAAACAAGACTAGTACGACGCCACCTTTGAGCGAATTATTTTCTAATTTTGGATGATTACTGTGCCAGAAATAATTTCCTTTTTTTTTGCGCAATCTTTAGAAACATATTACATATTGGTGCTTATCTATAATGCAGTGGAACGGAGAATCTTGTTTTCCATGTCTTCGTCTGCGTTATCAAAAAAGTATAGGAAAAAATATCAGATTCAGGTCGATATGACAACTAAACTAAAACGAAGTCTATGGCAAAAATTTTCACTTACGGGTGAGAGATAATTTTTACAATTCAGGTGAATCGTTCACACGCCGTGATAGTGCCAGCGGGGTGAAATGAAAACAAAACAAAACAAAAAAACAGACAGTCGAATGTGATCAGTTCCTGAAGTTTAAAATATGATAATATCTGTTCATGGATTTTTCTAGATTACAGTGGAGTTTACATGGGAAATAATTCGTTGAAAGATATAAGAATTAAGAGAAAATCATGAAACGTAAAATTAGTCATAACATTTTGGTATCATAAATTATTCAAAGACTAAAGTTTGAAATATGTAGCGCAAGTTTACTCTTACTCTTAGGGTTAGGGTTTACATTTACCTGATTGGAGGTATGCCGAATGGTTCAGGTGTTCTTAACTGGCTGATAAATTACTCTACCATCCAGCCATGGGTTAAATATGCCTCTCTATTACCTGATCGATTGACTGTAATCGTCTTTGAGAGCGAATTATTGATTCCTGTCAGGGTATGACAATGTGATTCAATAGACTGTTCCAGGCTCTTTGTATGTCGAAGAAAAGCGAAGGGGCAGGCGAGCGATAAACGATGGAGTGGTCTTCAGGGAACCACGCCATTTTGCGCGCGCCCACTCTTTGGCTCATTTCAGCTAACCACAAGCCTAGCACAGACTAGCGGTCGAACGATCGATTGACTAAGGATAAGTTGTTTCAGTCTTTGTTTTATTGAATGATCGTATTGTTCATTAATTTAATAAATTATTGTTTTTATTCACTGGTTCATGGATTCATATGAGTTGATTATTATTTCCAATTTGATGATCAAACTCTTCGGCGGTTACTCCCTTTATATTTTGCAAGTGGGAGTCTTCAATTTTTTCAAATTTTGTTTGATGAACTAGCACGGCCTCAATGTGAAGGAAACCAGTTATTCCTGTTCGTGCTGTCTGCTGTGAAGTCGTTACAGGCGTGATTTTCCCTTTAGTATTGTTCAACCAATACGGTCCACTAAGTTAGATGCTTTAACCCCCAACCCCTGAGAGTGATTCGCATCTAGCAGGTAATTTAGTGTTAACAACTGGGTTGAAAACGTAAATTAGCCACCGTAAAGGGTAAAAAAGCTGACGTTTCGAGCGTTAGCCCTTCCAATCGCTCTGACGAAGGGCTAACGCTCGAAACGTCAGCTTTTTTACCCTTTACGGTGGCTAATCTACGTTTTCAACCCAGTTGTTAACACTAAATTACCTGCTATACTCTCCCACCGACGCAGCACCACAATTTCTTTAGAAACTTACCCCTTGATTCGCATCTAATCTCTCTCTCTAAAATATCACCCCTGGGTCACACATTAAGGTCACGAGAAAAAGGATATGATCGCCAACTAAAGAAGCTCTTGATCGTTAAACAAGTTCTCCTTGTGAGCAAGTAAAAAAAAGGTATAGAGAACATTATGGAGAATGTGTCTACCGATGTTAGGATGTAAAGGGTCAAGGATATCAAAGACACTGAGAGCTTCAGAAATCAACTTGCTGTCAATGCCCGATTGACCACTGCAGGCACATGCAGTCTGCCAATTTAGAATTCCCTTGAAAATCGTTTTCGCCGCTTCCATTTGGTCTCTGTACTTTTAAAAAGCAAAATAACCATCTCTCAGTCAGGTATGAAAGGACTGATGCAATTTTGATCACAGTGCGGCAGTGCATGAACAGTAATAGTTGGGATCTACTTCATTAATTGCGATACTTAGACACCAGTGGTAGGGTTTCTCAGCTGGAGAGCCGTGTCATGCGTAGTATTCCCTTTTTGTGTGATCTCTATATGATTCTTTAGACTAATCGGATGAATCTGTGCATTCATATTTCGCCTGAAAATCTTTCTCACAGCAGTTCTGAAGTCCTCTTTCTTGAAAGTGTACAGTAAAGGGTTTATCAAGGACGACAGACCCAGTGTAAATATGGAAATATTGGGCAAAAGAACAGGCACGATGTCGGGTCTACCAAGCGCCGTTGCTGATGTCATGTAGATGATCGGCAGCCAACAGAGGACAAAAGTAGCGATCAGAATAAGGCAAACTTTGGCAACCTTTGCTTCTGATGAGAGCCTCTTCGCTTGTTCCCTCCTACTTGTCGATACCGTCATCTCCTGAACGATCTTGAAATGCTCGCGGAGCGTCGCAAAAATCAAGCAGTAAGCAACAAACATCAACATATAAGGAACAAAGATAAAAATCACGATTTCCACAAAGATGTAAACTTTGTGAATCAAAAGACGGGAATCAGCTTTCCAGCAGAGTGGTATTAGCGAAAATACAACTGCCACGACCCAGGCAGTCAGTAGCACTTTCGTAAAGTATTTCTGTATTAGATAAGAATACGAGAACGGATGGCGGATAGCAATGAGTCGGTCAAAGGTGATGCAGCAATGGCTGGTAACTCCTGACAACAGAATCACAGAGACAATATATCCGCTGGTGGCCGATTCCGGAATCGTTAGAAACACAGGAAACAGTACAGCACCGAGTAAAATATCGGATACTGCCAGAGAAACGAGGAATCCATTCGTGTAAGTTTGCAGAGATTTGTTGGCGACGACCAAGAGGCATATTGTTACGTTAGCAGCCACTACTATTACGGACAAAATAGTTATCATAACGTTTACGATGGAATTTTCAGCCATCTGTCATATCCCAGGATATGAAACTCTTGCTCTTCGTTATTCTCTGATCTTTCTGAAGTATTAACTTAGCGTCCGGCAGACCAGCATCCTGAAGGACACAGCTTTATATTGATGTAAGCAAAATTAATCTATCAAAGCCGATATTTCTTAAAGTGACAAAACTGAAAATATGTTTCTCAATCGAAGAGTCTCGAACCTAAAAATTGGTGTGTATATCGCTTTCAGTCACTGGGTAGTCAGTCTTACATCCTAACAACATCTTATAAACATATATCTTAAGGTGAGTTCTTATCCAGAAGACTTCACGCAGATTTAATGAAAGAGCAAGTTGAGCTCTCAGTAAGTTATCATTCAAATTCAAATTTAAATTGACAGGTGAAATTATCTTTGTACCAATAAGGACGATGAACGGACACTTTTTGTTTGGTATGCACGCTTGCCCTGTCTATCTCGGCAATCTGTTATTACCCTTCGGCACTTAGCACTAACGTTTAGCACTTGGAGACAGCTCGTAACCATAACATTTCATTAATACGATCTTGGGCTGCAACAATCAGAGAGATTTCAACAGCTTGTCGAACTGAAAATGTAATTTTGGTATTATTCCTTTCACACGGTCCAATGTGGGACAACCGGTAACTATCATGAATTTTTCATTTCATTTTTGTCAGCGATATCGTGTTGCGGTGTATAAATTCAAACTAATTGACGAATCACGTTATGACGCACATCTAATACAACGCCAGAATCGAGGATTACGAATTTTTCCGAAATATCTTTACAAACAAACTCTTTTCTATTAAGACTTTTGCCACACGTTCAAATTAATAATGCTTCAACGCAAATGGCAGATCAGAATTTTCCGGAATTATTATTGGAATACAAATATGGGTTTCACTAGGGTAATTATTTTCATTCGCCGAAGATCTTGCCATGACCACAGAATTATTAGGATTTAAGCATTTCTAGGAATCAGCACTTAACTAATATCGGCCAAAGGGTCCGAAAAGTATTACTTTTCAGCCTACGGATAAACATAAGGTCTTGGAGAGTTTTTCACTCAGCATCGCGGCAAGCCTTGCAGAGAACAACTAAGCTTTCATAGGTATTAACGCCGTTTTAATTTAGGCTAGAGGCTTTGCAGATTATTATCTTTCTGCACACGGATAAAAACAGACTCCACGTTCATCGCGGCACATTTTGCAGAGCTCAAAGCAGTATTATGAGCTCAGCTTTCATGGTTATTAATGCCTTGGTCCGGCGAGAGACTCGTGACGAACATAAGTAGAGTTCAGGGTTCATCTGTTCTCTTTCAATCGAAAAAATTTTCCAAAAAAAATTGAATACGGGAATCGAAACCTGGTACTGCTTTTGGTGACATGAAAGGTGTTGGGGAACGAATGTAGCCCTGTTCATGTGAAGACCTAAACTAGTTTCATTTTCTAGAGGCCTTCAAAAATTAAATTGTCAATGGAAATTTACATTAGACACCTTGAGTTTCATTATTCAAAATGACCACATATTTGATCAAGTGATCTTCTTATTTGATAGGGTTACTCACCCCACCTTTTATTATTGAAAAATGATGAACTTATCGAAATAATTTTCAGAAAAAAAATTATTGTTAATTGAGAGTTTCTTTTATTAATCACATTGATGTGCCTGCTTTCGATAGCACAGCAGGTAGAAGAAAGTTCGCAAGATTCGAATAGACCACTATGAGTAATATTATCGTTAGGTTTATACTCGTTCGTTCACTGAGAACCAAATCCTTTTTTTCAGTCAGTAGTAATCAGTATGGGGGAGAACCCCGATAAATTCTGAAAATAATTTAAAGAAGGCGAATTGCTTTAAGGGCAAAATGAACTTTTTTGTTCTTCCTGTTATTTTCTAAAATCCTAACCATAATATAACTCAAGCCCAGTCATCCTGATACGTTAGTCATGTGATCTTTGAGCTGCTGGAGTCAAATGCACCGGACCTGGGGGGAGGGAAAGGGGGTTGTAGCCCCCCAGCTTTTGTGCACCACTCAATTAATTTTAACAAACACCTCGCCGCCTCTAATTAGCTTAGAAAAATATTTCAATGAGAAGATGTGATATGTTTTTTTGCAGGAAGTTCTATGCTAATTGATAACTGATCCGGGCATCCAACCTCGATTTAACGAAATGTAAGGAATTTAAATGAACAAACTTGAGTCTCTAAGTTAACCGTTTTAAAAAATACATTAAAAAGTTGTATTTTTCCTTAAAAATGCTGAACTTCAAAATTGTTTTATAAAAGTGACATTTTAGGCACGACAAGAATCTAGTAACGTCGGACATACAAACTCATTTGCAATCCAGTGAAAATTGGGATAAATCTTCCATTGAATGTATTTTTCCTTGTTCTAAATTCCTTTGTTGGACATTCATTTTAGTTCGCATTCCTCCTTCTGAGGAGACACCACGCCCGTTTAACACCGTGTTTGTGGGAGAACGCGTCCGAAAGAAGTTGCAAATGGCCTTCTTGAAATCCGGTTTGAGAAAAGTGTACACGAGTGGATTCAACAGTGAACATGTCGCCACTGTAAACAAAGACGAAACAGAGAGGGCTTCTGGAATGACGTCATCCCTATTAACAATTTTTGCAGTTGTTATGTAGATGATTGGCAGCCAACAGAGAAGGAAAGCTAAAACAAATATGGCAAACACTTTTGCCACCTTAGCGTCCGAAGATAATCGTCTTCCTTCGTGATTGTGCACTCTGAAGGATTTCAGATGTTCGTTCCTGGTCAGACCCCTCCGAACCTCCATAAACATTCGCACGTATGCCAAAGTCATTAAAGTGTAAGGCACAATGATACCAAAAACCTGTAAACAAATCATGTAAACCTTATGCACTATGAGGTTGACATCAGCGTTCCAAAACAGAGGCAGTAAAGAGTAAATCGATGAAAGTAACCAGGAAAGTAAAGGAGCCCTTCTTCGTATCTTAGGAGCTCGATACGGGTATTCCAATGGCTTGATCACTGCAACATATCGATCGTATGTGACAGCACATAGGTTTGCAACACCTGAGAGTAAAATTACGCTCACTAAATAACCTGTTACAATCGAAAATGGCTCGATGAGGTAAACAGGCAGTAAAACTCCTCCTATTAATATGTCCGACACTGCAAGTGACACCATCAGCCAATTCGTGGTGGTTCGTAGAGCTTTCTTCGAGATGACCAAGAGGCAAACGCAGGAGTTTGATGTAACGATGAATAAAGAAAAGATGCTCAGAAAAACCATCACAAAAATATTCTGATCTGTAACAGCCATGTTTCAGCCAATTGCTCGAGATCTCTGTCAATGTATGGTTTCCTTTACACGAAATCGTCTTCGCGTGAGTTATTCAATTCACCTCGGTACTGAAATTGTTATGTTTACTGAACCAAAGGAGTTCTACCGCTTTGTTACCTTTGTTCGTTGAAGGATCACGAGTTGTCGTCATTGATTAAATCTTGTAGTTCGCCTACAAAAATCTTGTTTGGTTGACTAATCCCTTGACGCGAATGGAATAAATTTGTCCTCGTCTTGTGAGTAATCATATTGTCACAATCTAGGAGAGTTTGAGACGACTGAGAACGAAACTCAGAGATCATTAAAAAAAAGCCATTAAGTCCGAAACATCCAGAAAAACCAGTGGGGGTAAAGTTTCACCTTTAAAATCGAACGAATAACGAAAATAATCTTTGAAAGCTTTTAACTCCAGTCGCGTTAATTCGTAAACGGATTGGATAGATATTAATCTGTCTTGGAGACATTATGATAATTGCACCTTTTGTCATATCCAAAAGTAATCGAAATAACAACTAAGAATACAGAAAAAGATATTATTTTTGCATCTCCTTGGAACTGATTTTAAGCAGGGACCGGAAACAGTTTCATCAACCAGGTCAGTTTTCATACATGAACTTGTTTACTCAATTAACTTTCCATCTTCGAGTAAACAAACTGACTTCAGTTGTCAAAGGGTTCATGAAAAAGTGACAAGAATCGATACCAAGCCAAACAAACGCTTTGGAAATGTACATCATTTCCTTTTTGGGCGTTATTAGTAACGCCAAGCTGATAAGAAAAAAATAGAACAAAATCGAGCATTTAACCTCTTAAACGTAAGTTCAAATTTAGTTCTCATGGCTAGAATTATCTTTAAGCTATTAAATTTTAGTAAATCCCAAGAAATCAATGTTTTTCAGTGTCATGTGTTATAATAATTTAAATTGTCTCCATATATGCTGGTGAGGCAAGTCCAGTTAGTTCTCTCGTCCAGCCTTACTTCATAGTGAAAATGTGATTCTCTGGAAATGCACGGCCTTCATATTTGCTCACAAAGCATTACTTAGCATTACCAGTCGTTTAAGATAATTGCTCATTCTACGTTAATCGTCTCAATGCTTTGACCTCAAAATACCACTATAAATCTTATTACAAGATAATATTTCAAGAGTTCACTTTCCGGCACATCTATCTCACGATTGTGAGTGAGGGGCACGACTATCAACTGTTACTTTTTTCCGAAACTTGAGCATTATACTGAAATTTGCATCTTTAAGTAAAGACGTTTTTCGTTCCTTTAAGGTCTTTTTCCTCCTGAATGTCTTTAAAATAAATGAAACAATTCTATTTTTGGTACAATAGCTTCAAAATTAACAAAAACGTAAAGGTAGGACTATACCCTACCAACAATAACATGGGCGGTCTTACGTTGTCTGGATGCATCTTATACTTGTACCCAAATTTGTGGTCTTGACTCAAGTGAGCGGAAATGGCACTGAAATCATACCGCTTTGGAAAATCACGCAAATTTTACCAGTGTTTTCATTTCTCAAAAATAAATCAAGAGGTGGAGGTATTAAGGTGAAGATCTACTAACATTGAGCCTCCACGAAAAGAGAAGTGACGTTAGATTTAAAGAAATCATGACAGAAAATCGAGTTGAATCGTTCAAGATTGACTCGAGATGTTGAGGCTGACGAAGACTATAATTCATTTTTAAGGTTGTATGCTCATTAAATAACATGGTAAGGAATATTTATACAGGATAGCCCTTCAGTACATAGATATTGTTATTAAAGGTATCTTTTTTTTAATTAAAAAAATTAGAATGAAAACCGAAAATAAGATAAACATGACTTTGTGACAAAGTCCCACTAACATAGGCTAACCTACCTTGACTATATTACAAAAAAAAAACATTCATCCGAAACTTCCCCATTGTTAATTTAGGGTTTAGGGTGGGGGGTTTTTAAACAATAACGTCAAGCTTCACTTTCGGGAGAACAACGATGGCCCCTTTGTTCTTCAATACTATGTTGCTCTCTAAAATGGTATTACAATGAAGTAAGAAAATTATTCATTTCAAAGAGGCGAAATTTGAAGAAGCATAATGTAATAATTGCGGGGACTAGAGAAACCTTAAGATTTAGGAGCTAAATATTAAAATTTCTCCTCAAGTCACATATTATACATGTTGTTCTCTGTTTACAATCTGTCAAACCTCGAGTTGATGGGTTTCATTTCTGCTTAATTAGTTGCTTAGACTCAGTGATAAACGAGCCGTCACTCTATATTAATCGGTATTTTCAGTAGATGTTCACAAAAAGAGACAGTTCAATCGCCCTAGTTGAATATGTCGGTGCTGATAATAGCTGTCTCATGTAGAACCAAACTATAATTATGGCAAAAGTATTAGATGGGGGAGGCTAATTAGTCATTAATTTCAGGCGAGATAGACAACTGAAAAGAAATACGTAGCCATTGATATTGTCTGAAAATTTTGGTGAGAGGTTAAAACTCACTCTGCTTTATATAATTTCCACGCTTACGACATATGAATCTAACACCTCTGTTAGTTCCGCGTGATTGATACATATATGATTAATTAGGCGCGCGACTGAAAATTTGTTTACTATGTAAAGGAATAGACAGTGTTTCTTCCAGTGTCCTTTGATTTTATTTCCGAAACAAATGAATTCATGGGGCATATCCTAACTTGTTGTGTGTTGCATCGCAAATTCGCTCAGACTGTCAAATAAAACGAAAATAAATACATTAAATAGAGAATAACACATAGGTGCGCGTAGATATGGAATTTTCCTTTGAGTGTTCAACTCGATAGCTTGCTCGTAAGCCCGCGAACGAGTTGAGATATCGGTCTACAAGCAACCTGTATTATTTTGTTTATTATATTAACACAATAGCCTTTTACTGACAAGAAAAGCAGACTAGTTATAATGAATGAAACAAAACGATCGACAATTCCCGAACAAAAATCGTAAAGTGCGCTGTCGCCAAGGATCAGTGTGAAAAAAAGCGTTGAGTAATTACAAATACAACAATTCAAAGGGTGTAATTGCAATATACAAAATTCTCAGGTATTGACTTTGTCCTTACCCACAGACGAAATTAAATCTCTCAAGTACACAGCCAAATCGGCCTGCGGCAAATCTTCCGGTTGCTGATTTTCATTCTCAACTGCGAGAAATGCCACTACAAAAGCCAATGAATACGTAACTTTCGGTTTTTCTTTTTGCATCTGATTTTGTTCCCCTTCAGGGAAAGTTTAACCTTGCTATCTGTAAGCGATACGGATATTTCTGTGTTTTTTTAGCAGCCATAATCCAAGAGAATTCCGACAAACGACTTTGGATTGAGATAGTGAAGGCTTTGCCGTTCATTCAACAACCTGACTGTGTGGCGCAAAAGGCGAGTGACGTGTCAGCAGCTGATTGGCGATATCAAACACGCGAGAAAAAAACATCGTTTTGTTTTTTCGTGTGCTGTTAAGGCCTTTCTCAGGGCTGGAAATCCTTCTATGACACCGTAGTTTATATCGTGAATAAGGATATTTGCTAATATCATTCAGTTGTATTTCGCTTTGGACAGTGACCTTTTTTTCTTTTATAGCTCAAATCCAAAGCCTCATGCAGCTCCCTAGCACTCCTCCTGAGGGTCACTAATCCTAGTAATTTGCTGCTCTCTATATACATCGTCGTAAGGACTGGGCCGTTACAGTCAAAGGTTTCAACAGGTTTGTCAAACACAAAACTTTAGGGCTCTACAAAGAAGAAAACAGCAGAAAATGCTTTCGGTACCTATCAAAGCCACGGTTCAATGTTGATAGCAAGCAGTGAAGAGGCGTTAAAAGCTCACAATATAGATAACGGATGGGACAAGACAAAGGTTCCTGGGGCAACGACGATGAACTTGACTTTATGGCAGATCAGGCTCAATAAGGCACGAAATTTTAGTCCACTCTCGTATGTCGGCGGAGTTACCTATAAAGGACCAGAGCCTTTATCCAGCGGAGTATATGGGATGGTTCCCGAAAAGTATTCGTATCGTAAAATTAAGCTTCACTGTCTGTCTTCTTTTTCTACAACGTTTTAGTCTGTCCTGGAAGCAACATTAAAATAGATAATGATCAAAAAACAACTAAAGCACGAACTATACTATTTCAGAGCAAACTGGTAAGGGGTACAATTTTCAATTTTCCATTGAAATAGACGGCGTTACCAAAAAGGCAGCTCAGATATATTCGCAGCTGTAAACCCTCTCTCTAAAAACATTCTACACACTACTTTGGTTGACACCAAGCCAACATTTATTACATTACAAGATCAAGTTCATTTGATCTCAAGGCACATGTCCAAAATCAAAACTCTCAAACTGGAGCTACTGTTGACTCCAGCGGTATCTACGCTACAGCCTGGTTAGAGCATGGTTCAACGACTGCGAAATACGGGTACCTATTGTCGTGAAAACAGACTCTAACAAAAGCACTGCCACCGCTATATGGAGGCGCAAACAGAGGAATCAGTTGGTGCATGTACACGCTTCTGCAACAAGATGATAAGGCACCTGTGATAGAGTTTGGTGCAACATACTAATCACTCCATTGTACGGCTACGTGATCTTTCAGCCCTCACCAAAACTCCTTCAAGGTGGTTTGATCATAGAAGTGATCAAGCAATGTCTCATCATGGTCGAGCAGAATTCCTATTCCGTCTTTTTAAGCATCAGCTACCCTGACCTGAATTTAAATGTCGACGGGGACATGAAAACATCCCATACGAAGTCAATAGGGAGGAGCTCCATGAACTAGAAAGTGGTGAACTCGAGCTCTAAGTCACTATATCAGTGGAGGTGAAAATGATCCTCCCTGATTCTACGGTGAAAGTACTTGCACCTTCAGCTGGCTATCGACCACGTGTTGAAGTAAAGCGCGTGCTTTCCTCTCCTCGTTCTCCCTCCTTACCCCCCCTTAGGAAAATGAACATAATCGCGTTTAAAAATCTTAAGAACGGATTCATTGTTAGAGAAATAACCAGGATATTGTCTAAGGGGACAATAAATGGATTTCTTGGATCTTCATCGTCTTATATCTCTCTCTTTATGCTATAGAGAACTAATGTAACTCAGTGGGAATCACCAAATGTTAATCTACACTGAATTAAAGCAATCGTTAGTATTTAGGTGGATGCGGAACATTACGTGAAAAAATAAATGGAGGTCTACACCTGTCTCTTTCTAGAATTTTTTC